CTGTTTTTTTAGCGCGTCGATTGAAAGCACATCTTTCCGCCGCGATCGCGATTTCGGAAGTGGCACGAAAGTGCCGACGGCGCTTCCGGTATGAACGAATTGCCGAAGATTGATGGGCGTCGCGCTGTCGGGCGAGATTTCGGAGCGACGCGCGGATCACCCGAGGGCACCCACACACGCACACACACACACACACACACATGTACATATCACGACGCCGGACAGCTTTCGGCTGTGTACGTAAATGTGTGCGTAGGTGTGTGTGCTCGCGACGATATTGCTCATTCGATGGTGTGCAAAGTGGCGATACTGTATCGATCAAATGTTACCTGTTGTTGTCGCAGATACCCACACGCACAATCGCATGCACTCATGTGTGTGTGTGTGTGTATTATACATGTATATGTATATATGTATGTGAGAATGAACATGGTCGCGCGGCTACGTATTTCAGTTACGTGGCGCTCGCTCGCACTTAGCGGGAAATACCGTCGCGGCGAGGCGAAGTGGAAATTATTGCATCGTTCTAACGGCGGAGAATAAAGTTCGGTAGAAACACGGCGCGCGCGCGCGAGAGAGAGAGAGAGAGAGAGAGGAGCCGCGAGATTCCGCGCTCGTCGCGAACCCAATTTGTAGCTCGTTGTAGCTGACGAGACGCCGCTCAGCCCTCTCATAATTCACGGTAACGGCGAGGCGCGCAACTTTTTCGCTCAGGATCGCTCGCCGAGGAGGCGAGACTCTCGCGGAGGCCTTTTCTCTTCGTCAGCAGGCGAGCTCCGCACGGCAGTTCCGCAGTCGGGCGCGAAACGAACGGACGGTCGAAATAAAACGCACGATTTCTCAGGAGTCAAGCGAGAAGATTAGACGGGGAATTCCAGTCGCGGCCGGACAAAGCGAGAGACACCACGGCGCGAGGCCATGGCGGAGAGGCCCGAGCTCGCTGCACGCACATGGCACGCGGTGCGTGTATGCGCCAGGTACGCGAACACCGCAGGTATGCGACAGTCGTGGACGCGCGCTGAGTGACGCGAATTCGTCGTGTGTCTCGCGCGCGCATTCCTGCGTCTCGTACGCATTCCGTCTTCCCGGCTCGGGAAGAATCGCGGCTAGCGAGACACGCCGGAGTTTATGACATTCGCAAACAAAGAGACAGAGGTAGCCGAGGAGAGGGAGAGATCTCTCTCTTACGTTCGCGCGGAGCCGGATAAATTTTCCTCGAGTGCACATTCAAAGCGCGCGCGCGCGCGCGCGCAAGCAAGCAAGCAAGCAAGCAAGCATCTCCTCTTTTTCTTACGTCGTGAGCAATACGTCGGCGATAAAACCGAGCGCGGCTCGCGGGATGAAAGCACGGGTTAGATAGTTCAACTGCGAGACACCCGAGAGAACGAAAAGCGCAAGCGTTGATTCTGCCGACGGAGAGCACGACTCTCGAGGACACTGGACGGATGGAAACGTGGGAGAAAATTGCGGTTATAAAGTTGTCGATCTCGCTCTGCTCTACGAGTCACTTTCGCTTCGGACACGGAGACTTGATCAGGCCGGAGGATGTGTGCGACATTGTCTAATAAATAAAAGAGACGGAAGTGTACAGTCTGGACGTGTGTGTCGATTATTTGCGTGTGAGATCGGCCTCTCAGCGTCACGTGGAGACACACCGGTGCTCTTTCTCTCTCTCTCTCTCTCTCTCTCTCTCTCTCAACTAGTACGCAATGAATAGGAAATTAAGTGACAAACACGGGAACGGTGGCGCGAGTTCTCAGCCCTCTGCAGTCCTCTTTTACACGTGCAGCAACCTTGGCGATTGAGCGCAGATGAGGGAACGTGCCGGTGAGGACGTCTTTGAGAAAGTAATCCGGCTATTCTGACTGATGGCGTCGTGCTCGTGAATATGTAAGAGCGCGAGAGCGCTGCGAGATGGCTCGGTCGCTTTTTCTTCATTATCATCATCACCGTCGTCGTCGTCGTCGTTTTCTTTTGCTTTCCATTCCGGTCGTTTGGACCTCTAAATCAAATCTCGAGATGTACTACATTTGCGTCGCGTCGCTGTCCGCTCTCTCTCTCTCTTTCTCTCTCTCTGTCTCTCTCCCTCTCTCTCTCTCTCTCTCTCTCTTGCTCTCTTTCTCGTCAGGTTGCGGACACGGAGAAAATGCGGCAGTGGGAACTGCAACCAAATTTGTGCAATCTTGGGCCGTGCAGAAGCACGACCGACATTGTTGCATATTTGTTAAGAAATGTTGTGGCTTTTTGCTGCACGATGTTGTAGCAGTCACTTGAACGTTCGTCGTTCCGTTTCGTTCTCTCGGTGTTTGCTACTTCTACAATAATTCATGTGACAATGTTGGCCTGGCGGGGTCCAGCTGTGTAAACATATCGCGAAAATATGTAGTTTCAACGCAACGTTTGCCGCGATATTTTCTCCGTGTATGCCCGCCGTCGTCAATTAGCTTCTGGGCGTCGTGTGACATTTCTCGCTCCCGTTCGCGATATGCCCGAGAGACCGGCGAATTCGACAGGATTGACTCCGCGAATCGCGAGTCCTCTCTTTCAGAATTCAGGACGAGCGGCCGCGAAAGCTCCGTGGCTCTCGTTCTTCACACTTTTCGCATTGTTGACCGATCGACGTCCTACGCCGCGTTTCTCGGCAGAGCGTGAAATGAGCGTGGGGATATCTTACAGGACGCGCGAAGAAACGAAGAGAGTCCTGACGCAGGTTACATCGGCGCGCGAGTGCAAGGAACCGACTGGCGAAATGTAGAGAAATGTCGCACTCGCGAAGGACGTTCCCGCGTCGACCTCGGCCGATTCTGTTAATCCGCGAGTCTCTCAGGTGGAAGTCGCTTCGCAACTGGCGCGCGACTGACTCAACGTGTTGGTTAATAAATATTCGCAGCGGCGAGTAGCGACGGCTCGAACGGTAACGCTAAGTTCCGCAACGATGACGTCCTTAATGTCCGTAGTAAAAAGGTCAATCTGGAGGGGACGAAGTCGACTAGAGCGTCCGAGTGAAATTTATTCGCACACAGCGCGACGGCATTATGCGCATCGCAAAGCAGCCCCTTCGAGGGCCGTTTTCTTTTTTTTCTCCTTTTTCCTCTCTCTGTGTCTCTCTCTCTCTCTCTCTCTCCTCTCCCCCCTTTCCTTTCCTCCCCCTTGATCCTTTCTCATCCACTTGTTCGCTCATGTAACATTGACTGTACTCTAAAGTTCTGTTTAATATATGTACTACGATAATTACAGTATTGTTACTCGGCTTGGCTTGACTATGCCAACGCGCGTTCTTCTTAATTCCACGGCGATGTACACAATAGGTGAAAAAGTCTTTAGAGGAAAATAGGTTCTTTAGTAAATTGACAAGTAGATAGATTCGTGTTCGCGTGTGGCTCATGTGTAGACTCTTGTGCGTGTGTGTGTGTGCGCGCGCGCACACGCGCGTACATCGTGTGAGTGTTGTGTCTGTGTAAGTAGGTGTGAAGTCGAGGGGAACACGACCCTAGACTCACCCTCTGATGATCCTCTTTCCCCGTTCCTCCCCCGCTGCCCGTCGTGTTCCCGCGTTATATCTCTACGGGGTGTTCTGCCTCATAAAATCGACACGGCGAACCCTTAAATCAGGAACGATTCGCAAACACCCCCGCCTCACCCGCATCGAAAATCGACCGTTTCCCTTGCGGCGGGACGGCAGGGGGATTCAGGGGGAGGGGGTGTATACGGTGTGCGTGCGACACGTATTCTTTTGCATCCCCCGCGATATGTCGGTCGGAAGAGAAGAGACACACTTTCCGTGCGCGAAGCTGCATTCTTCGGCGGGAGATTCTCGCGATCTCGGCACGCGACCGCCATAACGCGGCCTCTGTGCCGCCGGGAATTCAACGGGATTCCTCCAGCTGATCGATCATTGATTCCAAGCGTCGGGTTCGTCCGACTGGCAGCTTCCGCCAGACCGTTAAATTCCCGACGAGCGATTAAACGGGAATCTATGGGACAACAGAATGCCATCTCCAGAAGGAAGCGCAATGCTCAGAGCGAGCGAGCGAGAGAGCGAGAGAGAACGAGAGAGCGAGAGCGAGAGCGAGAGAGAGAGAGAGAGAGAGAGAGAGAGAGAGAGAGAGAGAGAGAGAGAGAGAGAGAGAGAGAGAGAGAGAAAGAGAGAGGTGCGCACAAGTGGAAGATAGACGCGCGAGATACAAAAGAAATACGTTCGCACACGTGTATGCGTCGCACGTGTCTCCGTGCGGCAGCTGACGAATCGCTACTCGACACCCCGCGGATCGTTACATAACTTTCGTCCTCTCCTCCCTCCCCCTGCCGACGTTACGCACGTGTACATGCATATATCCTCCCCCGAAACCCGAGAGCGCTCGACCGGCGGCGGTGACTACGTGAGACAGAACGTGCGGCCCAGAGTTCCAGATCGCATTCCCGCGCGGCGACTCGGAGCTCAGCCGTCGTGACCTCAGAGGGGCTCGCCCCTCCTGGCGGCCATCTTGGCCGCTCTGGAGGCCAAAGCGCCCAGGGAGCACACCAGGCCCGTGAGCGTCTCCCAGAATGTGCTCCTGCGTCGCTTGTGCGCCGCTTGGCCGACGTAACCCAGGTGGTAGCCGGCGTAGCGGTCGTTGCTGCTGGCGGACGCGCGGCTCCCGTAGAGGCCGCCGTTGCTGGGCCTAGGCTGCTGCAGGATGCTGCGGCGGTGGTCCGAGCCGACGCTGTCGCGGTCGACGCTCCTTCGCGGCGAGGAGATGCTGATGCCGCTGGCGCTGGCGCTGCCGCTGCCGCTGCTGTGCCGGTGCTGTCGCTGCTGATGCCGCTCGTCGTAGAGATGTTGCTGCAGCTGCACGTTGCTCAAGCGCCGGTCCATCATCCGTACCAGGTTCTGGTGCACCCGCTGGTCGTCCTCCTGCACCGTGATCGGCGGCTGGCGTTGGCAAGAAACCAGGACGACGGCGGCGCCGCCGGCGCCGCCGCCGCCGCCGCCGCCGCCGCCGGCCGACGGTGTCGGTGACAGTAACTCGTGTTCCACTTGTCAGGCGTATTCGGTATCGCTGGACACTGAGCGCTCCAGATGGGCCGGGTGGCTCATCGAGTGGTGCTGCTGGTTGGAGTGCTGCTGCTGCTGCTGCTGCTGCTGCTGCTGCTGCTGTTGCTGCTGCTGCTGCTGCTGCGCCTGGGCGTACGCCAGGCTCTTCTGGTAGCTGAAGAGCTGCCGCTCCAGGCTGTAGTTCTCCGCTTGCAGCGACGCGATCTCGCGGCGCATCTGCTGGTTGTGTACGCGGCACACGTCGTCGTACTTGTGGTAGGTCGCCTGGAAGAGCAGGTGGCTCTCGTTCCACTCCAGCCGGATCCTCAGCTGGCCCTTGTCCGTGAGGAATGGACAGTGATTATCCTTCACTTCGTTCATGTCTAGGCTAGTCTCCATGATGATACCTTCGTCGACGGACTCCTGGGCGTAGTAGCGGCTGAACGGTGCGCCGGGCAGTCTGATCGCCACGACGTTTGGTCCCTCGCTTTTCAGCAAGTATGCCGACCAACTGACGTACCTGCCCGCAGATAGAATCGTCCTCGTAGAACACACTTGTTAATCGAAGCGCGAGCGCGAGCTTTCACGCGCGCGATCAGGCGCGGACAGGCGAGCAAGGAGAATGAAATCCGCGGTGGAGCCTCGCGCTTTGCAAAAACGACGAAAGAAGGTCCTTGCGGCAGTGCTTTCGATTTCTTTCGTTCCGGCCCATCTTTTCTTTCGTTCATTCTCTCACTCGCTTTTTACACAACTTGACTCTTATACTTTTTTGTATAAACACACTCTGCCGGGGTTACTGCGATAGAACAAGAGATATATGATGAAGATCGAGTACGCACCTCAAGTGATTCCTCGGCACGTTGTGGATATCTTTGTAGACCAAGTGCAGCCTGACCGTGTCGGAGTAGAGGTCGGCGCGGACCGCCCACGCCTGCTTGTCGCGGTCGTAACAGGGTGCCGCCGGTGGTACCGGCGGACCCAACGCCTGCACCGTGATCTCGCAGATGGTCCTCGCCTCGAGCATCTCCAGGGACACGCGGAGCGTGCCCTTGTGCGCGATGTCCGACCACTTGACCCTCGTGTTCCAGCCGAAGCCGCAGCCTTCCGCGTCGGAGATGTCCTCGATCTGCCCCGAGTCGATCCGCCGTTCACCGTCGCCCAACGCCACGCTGTATCTCACCCTGCAGCGGTGGTCGAAGCCGGTCAGTCTTATCAGGTAGACGCTCACCCGGCTGTCCTGGCTCCGGCCGTCCGAGTCCTTGGCGTACGGGTAGATCACCAGGTTCCAGTCGAAGCCGCCGAAGGTGAAGCAGTCGGTCTCCAGCTTGATCGGCTTCGTCTGGCCGGCGGAGAACACCGACGTCGACATCCTGACCTCGGTCATGTAGACGGTCCGCACGTTCGCCATCGACAGCTCCAGCTGAAACTCGCCGTTCGTGTCGGCGAAGTTACGGCTGTAGAGGTCGGACACGGGGATGTAGTTGCGGTTGCCTTGGGCCGGCGCCTCGTAGGTGAACTTGACGCGCTTGCCGGAGAAGCCCTCGTTCATGGAGAAGTGCTCCCGATTCAGCAGCGTGAACGTGAAGTCCACGTAGACGCGGAGGTTCCTCGACGCGCCCCGCCATACCAGGTACACTCCCAGGACCTTGGAAGAGTAACTTGGTCTTACGCCTTAGGTCGTCAGCGACCTACTACGATCGTTGTAGCGCGTATGCGTGCACGATGAAAAGAACGGCGGGAGTTCGAACGACGACACCCCGAGTGTGTCGGATTGTTTTTTCACGTTTAAATCGGAGCTTCGCTCGTCGCTCGTCGGCCATTGGATGTGATCGCGCGCGCGAATCTCGGAAGGATACCGAGTCGAAGCTGACGTTACGTAATTTCAGGGGAACAGCACGGCCGCGCGAATCGGCGAGTGCACGTAAAAGTGCTTTCCCGAAGAGGTGAACTCAAAGGATTCCACCTCAAAGGATCCACCGTTGCAAGACGTTCGGAACGTTACCCCGCCGCGGTGTATCCGCTACAATGGCACCCGACGGACTACAAAGACGCGAATTAGCATTCGGGAGGAGCGACGATCTCTGTGCCTTCGAGTCTCGCGGGGAAGAAGAGACAACGAAGTGCTTCCCGCTCAGCCGCGAAGACGAGGAGCTCTCTCCTCGTCTCCGCGGCTGCGATGAGGAATCGGTCGCTCGAGATCGCTTCGGCAGCTGGCAAGAATCCGCCGATCGAGTTACCTTTTCCCCGCGCGAGAAAGCGACGGCCCACTTCTGAAAGCCGCATACTAGTTCCTTGCTGGTGACGTCCCTCTCAGGATCGCGCACGACGCTTCTGGTGACGACGAAGGAGAAGACCCGCGTGCCATTGCGATCGTGTAGCTGCGCGAACCTATACAACAAAGCCATCACCGCATCTCGAGGGCACCTCTAGTCCGATGGTCCGCGGTGCACAAGAAGGATCCGTCCTGGTGTCGCCTTGCGAGGATCTGCGAAACAAAGGGCGGCACTCTCCGTCAGTCGTGGCGATCGCAACAATGCCGAGATAAGATGAAACCCCGAAGGAGCCCCGAAGGAGAGCGAGCAAGCCCTCGAGCGACGACTCGCTCTCCCTCTCGAGTAACGTGGTTCTCGAATAACGAGAACGTGGTGGTGAGTAACCATCCCGAAGCCGGTAATCGGCTACCTGATTAGGAGGAATCGATCGTCTCGAGTACGGCCTGCGGCTCGGCCGACGAAACTCGCCATAATTAGGACGATCTCTTAAGTACAAGATCGCGCTATGAATAGCCGCGTCGTCGTCGTCGTCGTCGTCGTCGTCGTCGTCGTCGCATTTCTCGCTCCGTTAACGAACAAACTAACTAACGATATCTAAAGATATCTAAAGGTAAAAAAACGATAACTAAAGATATCTTATCTCTCGGAGAGAGCGAGAGAGAGAGAGAGAGAGAGAGAGAGAGAGAGAGAGAGAGAGAGAGAGAGAGAGAGAGAGTGGTTTGGGCGGTCTCTCAGCGAGCTGCCAAGCGCAGCGGGGTCGGAAAATTCTGGCGGCAGAGGGCCGAGGGGGGAAGAGAAGCGAGGGAATCGGTAGCAGCGGTGGCCGGGTATGTACCGTCATGTAATCCGCTTTCATTCCTAAATACCGCGACGCACGGTAGCGCGGCGGCCTTTGTGGTATTAATTGTCGCGAGTAGCGGGGGCCGCGCAAGCATTGAAACGGACGGAGTAGCTCTCGGTAGGCTCTCTCCGTGCTTTTTCAACGGGCCAGGAGAAGCGGAAGGAGTGACCTGGTTTCCCTCCCTCTGCGAGAGAGTCTGTCTCTGCGTCTCCCGTCTGCAGAAACGACAACGACGCGTTGCGCTCTGAATCGCGCGAAGCGCGATCTGAAAGCTCGGGCATGCATCGCCGGTGTTCGCCCGAGGAACGAAAGATCCGTCGCTTCCTCCCGGCTGTCAGGCTGTCCGGAGCCGTTTCGACGCGTCGCCGCCGCCGCATTTGTCGGCATTGTCATCTCGCCCCTTCGATCGAGGCCGTTCTCAATTATCACGCATCGAGCTGCCGCGCCGTTGTGCTTCATTGCCGCAACCGCGACTTTGGTACTTCGCATCTGCTGCTGAAACAGCAGCTCGACGTCGTTTACGCCGCGAGCCACTCCTTAGTTTGGGCTTTACACACACACACACACACACACACAAGGTGCTCAAGTCGCTCGACACTGGCGTTGGCAATACGGTCGGAATGACACGCAAAGGCGACAGGGGTGATAATCTCGCCGGCCGCTTCGCTGCGCTTCTCTGAGGAGGTGGCTCAAAAAGCACTTCGAACTCAGGGGATCGCTGAAACGCTTCGAGCTAAAGTAATTAGCCGAATTTGCACGGCGGATTTTGTACTTTCGCTGAATAGACGCGCTGTAGAAACAAGCGGGGAGTATATTTCCGCCGCCGCGTAACGCATTATCTCTCTTCCTCTTTCAGAAACCTGTCATCCGATCGCTCGAGCGCTCCGAGGTAAAAACGGAGCGCTCGTTAATCGCCGGTGGTGCGGTTCCAGCGGGAAGTAACTCTTGTCGCGACGCTAATGCGTCACAACGGCTCCCATTATAACAGTTCCCCCAAGCTTGCGCTTGCAAGCTGCGCTGTGAAACTCGCGCGAGACCCGCCGTGTATCTTCGCCCGTGCATATTCGCCTACTTTCACAGCCACGGAGAGCCGTCATTCGGCTGTCACGGGCGGCAACGTAAATTCCGACTGGCGCGGCTGGCGCGGAATAAATCACAGCGGAAACAATTGGAGGAACGTAAGGGAGATCTCCGTCATGTGAGTGCGATCTTGCCGGCGATCTCTTCGTCGGAGAAATCGACGCCGGTCCGAGCGCGGAGGGACAGGTGAGCTCCGTTATTTGGGATAATTGACGTATCAACGGCGCCATCGCGGGTGTCGCTGGTACGACGGGACAAAAACGCGAGTTATCTCCTTTTTATCCGGCCACGAGAAGGTCCGACGACGGCTCGTCGTCATGTCGAGGCCGACGATGGAGGAGGCGCCGGTTATCTTCAGGGAGGCCGTCCTTTATCGCGAATGGGGCCATCGACTGGCCAGCCTGGGCAGGAACACTTCGGCGATTGATTACTTCGAGAAGGCGAGCAGACTGGCGGCCGGCGAGGAATTGAGAACGTTAATTGGCCTTTGCCGGGTGCTGATCAGGGACGCCAAGTACCCCGCAGCGGCGAAACTGTCGGAGAGATGCATGGAGATAGGTGTGCGCGAGAGCGAGGCTCGTTCCGAGCGACGAGGTGTTGTTAAAGAGGCGCACGAGTTGTTAATTGTATCTCAGCCGCGCCTCTCTCGCGATATCGCGCGGCGGCGCGATTATCTCTCGGCTGGCGATATTCGTTATTGTATTCTCGTTCGCGCGTGTGTGTATGCGTGCGTGTGTGCATATACTCTCTTGGAATTTCTCGCGGCGAATTCGAGCTCGAGTTTACAGCGGCGATTCTTCGCTCGTACGAAGCGGACTCTCGGGCGAATACTTTCGCTCGGAATTGAAGGCTGGATCTTTCTCCGCTGCACCGTTGCGGTGGCGTGTTCCCTCTAATCTAATCGACTGACACGCTCGCTCATACGGAGCCTCAGAATCCGCTCTAACAAGTAAACCTCGGGGAACGTCAGGCGCCGATTTGTTTCCAATTTGTTACAGCTATTTTTTATGTTAAAATATGAAGAAATCTGTTGTCATTTTTAGCTTGAATTAATTTCTTCAATCTTTTCGAAATTTCTCAAGTTTTGCGAAAGTACACTATTTAAAACAGTATTTCTTAAAAATATATATATATATATCTGATTTGTTGAAACTTGCACGCACACACATGTCGCCGATTATGAATCAGAACCATTTTGTAAAATTCAAAATGGTGGATCTTGTGTGGCTGACGTGATCGTTGAAAAAGTGTTCAGTTTTACATTCGACGTTGGGTAATCTCTCGGCCCGCTATCCACAGCAAACAAGCTCATTTTAACGTCAAAATCTGATAAAAAATCAACAAGAAATGAACAAAAAAACTTGAGAAATTTCGAAAAAATTGAAAAAATTAATTTAAGCTAAAAATGATAACAGATTTCTGTATACTTCGACATTGAAAATAATTATAAAAAAATTGGAAACAAATCGGCGTCTGACGGTGTTCCCCGAGGTTTATTTGTAAGCTTAATTGTAAGCGAAACGTCCACTCCCGCGATTCATCGAGCGACGGTATTTTTATTCGCCTCGAGCGAAGACACCGACGCTTTCCGCTCGCTCCGAGAGTGAGATTCCACTCCGCGAAATGTATTTAGAGTCAACTTATAACCGCGTAGCGCGATTTTCCCCTCTTTTCCCGCCTCAGCCCGCCGGCCGGAGCCCGAACACGCCCGGCGCGCTCGCGTCGCGTCGCTCCGCATTTAATTCCGTTTTTAATTTGCGAAATTGCACGCGAGCAATCTCGCGCATCAGACTCCCCCCCGGCTTTTTCACACAATTCCGCTGACCCGCGCTGCTGGCGGCGCATTAGAAGCAGAATCGGGTTAAAAGAAACGTGCGCACATGCGCCGCGGGAACGGACAATGATCGGCGCTTTGGGGGGACGTCGATTGACTGACAAGGTCCGCGCGGAGAAATACGTCCGCTTGAACGAAGCGAGCCGATTGAGGCCCTCGGAATTCAGACTCTGAAGTATCCAGGCTTCCTGGTCGACTCAGAGGTAATTCTGGTGTCCCCGACATCGGAACTTCTGAATCGCTGTTGCTGTTCCAGCAGAACATTCGACCGGACGTTTTCGCCCGCCCGCTAATTATCTCCCGCCGACTAACGATAAAACGAGCGAGCGCACGCTTCATCTCCGCGACACCGTATCTCGGCTTCAGATCCCGCTCATTACCAAGCGAGGCAGATGCGGATGCAAGCGCTTTTCCAGGCCGGTGAGTTCAGTCACAGCCTGGTACACGCTCACGAGGGTATGCGGCGGCGACACAGCATGACCTTTGAACACGGCATCTATCAGGCCAGAGAGACCATCGAAGATTGCGTCGGTCGGAACACGTCGCCTATAGCGCTGCTGCTGCTCTATCCGTGGATACGGAAGCTGCACGACTATCGGGACCACCTGATCGGCCAGAAGGAGGACCAGTTCCAGGGTGCGTATCTTCGACAAGGAACAAATGCGACGAGTGGGGGAGATCGTTTTCTTCCGATATCAGTCGTGCTATCAGTCTCGCCGGCGAGACGAGACATGCTGAAGCGAGTGAGAGAGAAAGACAGGGGGGAGAGGAGCCGCCTCTCCTCGGCCTGCTTCTCTCTAATCTCTCTGCAACGAGATTTCCTCGTTAGCTTACGGGCGGGCCGATGATGGAGCGAGAAAATATCCCGTGTCGAAGTCTTATTAGTCAATTGGGCTAATTATAGTATCAAATAAGAGAGAGAGAGAGAGAGACCTGTACAAAAAATTTTTCAAACACAAGATTACGCAGTTTCGATGTATTTATGCATTTTTGCAAACTGGTTTTTTAAAATATTTCACGAGGTCTTCCTGTCTCCTTTTTTCTCACAGTCGAATCGGTAATTTTTTGCGAGACAGAATTTGGTGGAAAAGCGACGGATCCTTTGCGAAATACCGCAAGTGATATAAAATATAATATTGTTACATGTGTGTGATGATTTCGGACTTTTCAGATAAGGCGAGACGATCATATTTTTATTCATCATTAAAATTTTATAAAGCAACGCGTACGTGAGAGAGCCGGTGGAAGATGACGGATCCAAACTGGGCGCGTATATAGTTTCGCGAAATTAGAACGATAGCGAGAAGGAAGTCGTTAGATTTGTGATCAGAAAAGTCCGAGATGTATCACACTTATCGGACGACTAACGATATTATTTAAGGGGACTGGGAGGGTCAGATTGCTGAAAAATGCTTGTCTTTGATAATATTTCGTGACGAACTGAATAAATGTGCGAGAATGAGAATTTTACATATATTTATACAACATATGAAGAATAGAACAATTTTGTTTTTAAACAAATACTCATATAAATATACGTCCACTTAAATTTTAAACGCGTTTTTCTCGAAAATTTATTGCTCAACTTTTTGCGTGTGATTTCTCCGAAACTGAGCTTCGTATCGATTTGAAATTTTAAAGCAATAATATTTGTTCATGTGGGTCTCAGGTGAACCATGGACAACTCCGTAAAAATATTTCATTTCGGGATATTAATTTTTTCATTGTAAAAGAACTGAAAAATTTGAATTTTTTCCTAATAATAGCTGCCCTTTTGTTCATTTTGTTCGATTTTTTTTTCTAGCGCTTCACCGGATAATGATAAGTCTCCTCAAGATTTCTAGCTAAAATTCGCTCTGATCGGGCCACCGAGAGCCGAGATATTACTGCAAAGACGATAACTTGAAAAAAAAAAAAGGAGAATATATTTCAATTCCAATATTCAATTTCAATATATATATCGTATATTTATACGAATATTTATTAATAAACAAAATTTTTTCTACTCTTCATATGTTATATAACTATACCTAAAATTTTCATTCCTGCACATTTGTTCAGTTCGTCAGAAAATATTATCAAAAACAAGCACGATTATTCAGCAATCTTCAAGCAAATCTGACCCTCCAGTCCCCTTAAGTGCGATATTATTACCGAACGAATGATCATTTCGCCTGGCTGTACCTCATCGCGCGACGGCGATTAGAGAATTAGATTTGCGTTTGAGCTCGCAGGTATCGCCGCGGACGAGGACGAGACGAGATTCAAGGTGAACGATCCGGAGGTGCAACAACAAGTTCGGCAGAGGCGACTGCAGCGCGTCATAGCGAAGATGTATATGGGTTACTTGACGATCGATAAGGATTTCCTCGAGGAGATTGCCGGCCAGCCGGATCTCGCGACTCCCGAAGTGGCCGCGCTCGCGAACCTGTGCCGGCGGAACATCGGCTACCTGCAGGACCTCCTGCGAATGCGACGGCCGCTTTACGTGACGCTGTTCGAGCGCCGGGCGATGACGCGAAGGCGCAGGAGGGCGATCGAGCGGGAGCGGAAATTACGCGCGAATATTGTCGTCATCACGGCGGATTTCCTATTGCGTCGCCTGCACATCGCGAGAGTCAACAAGGACTACATCTCCTTCTTCGGGTAACGTCGGGATCGTTCGGCTTGCACTAGTTTGCGAAAATCGTTTTCGGCGCATCTTTCTCCGGCGAACTCGAAGGCGCATCAATATTCACAACCGCGCGAGCCAGCCGGAGTGTATAAAAAATCATTCTCCTACGTTTTTCCTTTTCATTCGATTGATATTCAATCGAATGAAAAGTAAAAAGGAAACATATATATATATATATAGATTTTTCATTCGAGTCTTATTAGGGAGATATAAAAAAGCACTTGAAAGCGTTGTGATATATAACACAATCCCAAGGAGTTACAAACACTTCAAACTATTATGATATTATACTCTTATCTGTCCGATAGATAAGAATATAATGAAAGTACTTGAATGTTTTTTTCAATCTCTCTTTTCTTACACTAGGAAAAAAAATTTAGTATCTCTAACCAAACTGTCTAGTTGAGGCATTTTTTAATAGCAACCAAATATCTTGTTTTATATAACGAAATATTCAGTTGTCTCAACTAAATATATTTTTCTTGTTTTCTTCTCTGGACCAAATGATTTTGTTCTTAGACTTCGTATATAAAAATTAAGCATGTTAGTTATTTCATCCATAAAAATTACATAATAACGAAATCATTATTTTACATAAACTAAAATAATGCCCAATGGATGCTACTTTGTCTTTCTGTGCACTAAAATTTAGATTTTATATATTAAGAAAAAATTATAGTATTTTTAACAAAATTCATATAGTTAAAGCTTTTCGGGTGCTACAACAAAAGTATTACGTTATACGAACAAACCGTAATCAAACAGGATATTTGTTTGCAGGAACTAAACAGTTTTGTTGGGCATATTTTAACCAAATTATTTTGTTGTTACAACAAAATTTTGGTCCACGCAACAATATATTTTTCCTAATGTACGATTGTGACGTCGATATTTCATGCATCGCTACTTCTATCATGAGTTACCGCTAATCATTTGACGTGTTCTTCATTCCGTCAAGAGAACGACACGTTCAAACGCTCCTTGTTTGAATGTTTATTCATCGAGCTGCCGAGTATCCAACTGCCGTGATATTTGCGTTCCGCCAATCGGGACAGCGAGATGGTGCTCGAATGTTCACTGTCTGAATCGGGAAATCGTGTTCTTTAGTTTCAACGCTCGAAACACCTGGCCTCTAATTCTAACCGCGCTGAATCGTGACGTCGGGAGCGAAAAATCGTACAAAGTTCTCTCTCTCTCTCTCTCTCTCTCTCTCTCTCTCTCTCTCTCTCTCTCTCTCTGTCTCTGTTTATCTCTTTCTCTCGATATAGGTACATTGAGATGAATTCCAAGTTTCTTCGTAAACCACCGGCTGTCTCGGTGTCAGATTAGTCAAGTATACCGGGAGCTCTCCTCCTCGCGTTATTCTACGTCGGCAAATACACTGATAGAAAAATATAGTTGAATCAACTATAATCTCACTATATTTTATAGTTCATTTTGGCGTCAACCATAGTTTTATAGTTCGTGGAACTTGCAAAATATAGTAGAATAAACACAAACATATAGTCAATGATTGTCTGAAATAATTGTTTAGTTACTTTTACCACATATATGGTAATTTCTCATTCACAAATATAGTGAGATTTAATATTCATATGGTCACATCTGTCATCGTTTAGCAAATATTCAGGTAATATTGACTGTATAAAAGAGTCACTTTACCTACCATTTTATATTTGTATCCATACAATAATCTTAGTTTAACTTACTATAGTTCTTAGTAAAAATATTATATGCTTGGTTATGCTATGCCTATATCGTAATTATTACCGATATTATGGCAATACTTGCTATAAATATGATATTTCGGATTATAATTTAGTTACTGTTATCATTATAGTTCCAAATATTATATACTTTTCTCTCAGTGTAGCCGTGTGATCCAGTCTACGTTCGTTCTGCGTTTTCAGCGCAGCGAACGAATGCGGCTGTGACAGACTCGATCGAGTTTTACAGCCGCTCGTTAATTCGCGAACCGAGAGGAAAGTTTTTCTCGGTATATCTTACCGACCCCCACCATCTAATCCATCTCGACGTATAACGCGAAGGAAAACACGATTCTTTGCTTTGACTAAATACGCCCGCGACGAGGGGGCGGGGTTCTTGAGCTCAGCGCCGAGTTGAGCTCCGTAAGCTTCGCTTGGGCGTAAAGCTCTGTGCGAGATTGGCTCTCTTTCGCAAACCAACGGGCTCGAGCTCGAAATAGCCATGTACGAGCGAATAATAACGAAACTTGACTAGCGGTGAAAGCGGGAGCGTAAGCCTGCCTGCGAGGGACGAGCGCCTCGTCTGATTAACAATATACACGGGGAGGAAAGATCGGTCGTGAATTAACACGACGATGAACGGAATTTCTGCTTCTCCGAAAGCGAAGTCAGCCAGCGTACGCGCCAGAAACGTCGCTCCCTCCGAGCGAAACGCATTAGGTTCGTTCGCTCCGGCAAGCTTCCCTCCGCGTGTACAACACTTCATATCTCGCGACTATTTCTCTCGGTACTTGAATGTATACTGGTACGAGCTACGGTATCTCGAACTCGCAAAGTGCCTGACCGATTCCCCCCCCCCCCCCCTCCATTTGATCAGATTCGTCGATCATATCAAGGACAAGTTTGACTCGTACTCGAGTAAAATGTTTCCGCTGAAGGAGAAGTTTCTCAACGCATTGTACGAGATGGTGGCGTGGGTTTACATCGACACGCGCGACTTGATGCGTCTGGCCGACGAGGAGATAAAGGCGACGTACTTGAAGCATCACTTAGGGATACGAGTCGCGACGATTCCGCGCGACAGCGACCTCGCGTGGATGCCGAGCACGAATCCGAAGGAGAGGCTGAAGCTATTTCGCAGGTATAATTTACTACTCGCAAGTAGGCTCGTCCTGGACAGACATATCGCAGGCTATCCGCAATGAGAGAAAAGACGGTTGGATGAACGCGATCATAAACGAGCGTTTTGATTCGAGGAAACGGGGTTTCCGGCTCTCGTGAAGCAAACTCGACTCTGAGATTCCTATTTTCTTCAATCGTGTAGAAGAAAGAGCGGCCGAATCAGCGAGCCAAACGCGCTCTGCCGGGAGAAAACAACATTTTTGTTTCTTACGAGCGAAATGCGACTACTCGGGGAGCCAGAGATTCTCTTACGTACACCAGGGAAAATGTATTGTTGCGTGAACCAAAATTTTTTTGTAACAACAAAATCATTTGGTTAAAATATGCCCAACAGAACTGTTTAGTTCCTGTAGACAAATATCTTGTTTGATTACGGTTTGTTCGTATAACGTAATACATACTCCTGTTATAGCAACCAAAAAGCTTTAACTGTACGAATTTTGTTAAAAATACTATAATTTCTTCTTAATATACAAAATCTAGATTTTAGTGCACAGAAAGACAAAATAGTATCCATCGGGCATTATTTTAGTTTATGTAAAATAATATTATTCGTTATTATGTAATTTTTCTGGATAAAATAACTTAATTAAAAATGTTTAATTTTTATACATGAAGTCCAAGAACAAAATCATTTGGTCCAGAGAACAAAGCAGAAAATATATATTTAGTCGAGACAACTAAATATTTTGTTGTATAAAACAAGATATTTCGTTGCTATTAAAAAATGCCTCAACCAAACAGTTTTGTTGGAGATACTAAATTCCTTTTTCCCAGTGTACTATTTTCCACGCGCTTTTCCCGGAATAATGTCGAACGAGCGCGTGCCTCGAGCGTGTTTCCTTTCCGCTTAACACGCGAACGCGCAATCGACATGCATGTCGTATCGCGCATATCGCGGCAACGCGTGATTTGTAAATGTCGCATCATTTCTACGCGGGATATACAGTCGCAATTAAAGGCGCGACTCGCGGTAATATCCCATTCGAGCGCGAACGATATCTCCCGAAAAGGAAAAAGAAAACACGATTTCGATGCAAGCAGGAGATTAGGCATGGCGTGCGCGCCGCTCGAGCTCGCCTGGCTGCACCACGACCTGTGCAAGCTGCTCGTCGATATCTGTCGCTTCGACCTGGCCAGATTCTACGGCAAGAAGGCGCACGACATGGCGCAGGAGGCCAAGTGCGAGCAATGGGTGTTGAACAGCAATCACCTGATCCTGCGGATCGAGATACATCAGAATAATAGGAGCGAAGCGAGGGACGCCGCGATGTCGGCGCTCGCGAGCGCCAAGAGGCTCGGTATCGATCATCTGGTATGAACAAAGTGCCGCGATTTTGCAAGGGCTCTCGCCGGCCCTTTGCGGTCGAATTCGCCCGCGCGGGTCGACATCCAATCAGCGCGCCCTCGAAATTAGTTTGCGTCTTCGAAATCGCGAAGGAGCGCGGCCCTACGAAATGATCGGGGAAGGGAGAGAGAGAGAGAGAGAGAGAGAGAGAGTCTATATCATTCTTGGACATTTGTCAATTTCTTTGTTTATCCGGCTGTTTCTGCACTCATTCATAGACGGAGGGCGAAACGTCCAATGAGTTTTCGATACTTTTGTGCGGATTTGATCTAATATTAAGTGATATAGGAATTTATCAATATGTATTATTCATTTTATTGTTCCTTGCGCACTGCAATATTTGGTCAAATTCGGGCTAAAGTGCAGAAAACTGCCGGCTGTTTGGACGTTTTACATTACTCGCATGTTTCGCCTGAAGTTCACCTTCCAGGTTGTTTATCGATTTCCCTCGTCGTCGCTTATGATACGTTACTTATTATTTCTTATTTGTATTTTTACTTTCACGCTACGTTATTTTTATTCTGTTGTGTAAACAAAGGGTTGCTGATAAATGATTATTATTATCGTGTCCTTCTCGCCGCGCGCTTTTCGAAATTTTGCATAAACATTTCGTTTCCTCGATCACGGTTTCGTGGATTACGCAGCGAGCGACGTCGATGTGTCCCAGCAATGAATCGTGGCGTATGATTGAGAAAAGAAAATAGCAGCTGGTTCGGTAAAATTGGCGCAATTATCCGCGCGCAAGCAAATACTGCGCCAATTGAGCAAATTACGCGTTGATGGAACGACGTATCGCGTGGACGCGCGGGCAGTTGTTGACGGAATCGTGATTGTTAAATGGGCTGATAACTCGTTACAGTGATTACACAATGTGTGTTTGATGAACGTTCGCTCGAGCGGACTCCGCCCGTTCGCACGCACCATCGTCGGTGCCGCCAATTTTTCTTCTCGACGCATCTACTGCATATAAAACGATAAAGCGGCAAGTCATTTTCTCTCGGGACAATTTCCATCTCTCGCGACAAGTCTTCAGCCGCGCTAACGACCGTTCAACCTCCCTCTCGCTGAATAAGTTTTTATTCAAATGTTGTGCTTACATTCGTTTCCGTTATTCGCTGACGGACTTTTCTCCCTTTCTCTCTCTCTCTCTCTCTCTCTCTCTCTCTCTCTCTCTCTCTCTCTCTCTCTCTCTTCGTCTCTCGACGGGTCTCTCGCGACGAAAGAAAATCTCGCGCGGAAAATCGTTCTGTTTTCACAAAGACAGACGAATGTGATCCTCTTTCGCGCGACGAGCAAGAAGTGCTCGCACGGTGAAGGACGAGAGCGGCGCGAATGAAATCGCGCCGAGACCGCGTCAGGACCGCAAAGGACTTCGCCCGGTTGGCGCGGAAGCGGGCTCGGTTAATTCGGCTCCGATGAATCTCGCGATGCTGCCCGCAGATTGATTTCTACGAGAGGGCCATCAGACTGGTGGACGAGCTGGACGTGGAGCGGATCGGCGACTTTGACGGCGCCGCCTCCAGGCAGCAGCTGATCCTCGAGCTGATGCCGCGAGAGATGAAGGGGGAGGTGGATTTTCTGTGGCGGCGCATGGACGTCGTGCCGGCGAAGAGACGGCTCTCCGTCATGCCGGGCTGCAAGCCGATCGATCGGAAGCACAAAATGACGTCCAAGCGAAGGACCATATTACCCGGGCCGCCCAAGGACCCGGAGAGAGAAGCCAGGCTCGCCATGTTGAGGCAGCACGCTCCGCGCGTCAAGCGGCCGGGCTTCGTGGATTTCGAAGAGTTCGAATGATGGACGGCGATCTCCCCCCGGCGACCGGACGGTCACACCCCGATCGCGCATTGTCCGCCGGCTCACTGTCAGGCAAATTATCGCCGGGCGATCGAGAGCGCGAACGGGACGCGAAATGAAAATCACTCAGCCGTTACGATCCATTCACGCGCGCGCGTCTCTCAGCTTTTCGTGCCCATTCGAGCTCGCCGCGGCTCATTTCGCGGATATTGAATTTCGTTGTACCGCGGGTTCATTCGTTGTAATTAATGATTATAATAATTGCATGAAAATTCCAAATGTACACCGCATCTCCCGCTGCGCGCTCCATCAACGTTACTCGTTCACTTATTGTTCTCTCTCTTTCTCTCTCTCTCTCTCTCTCTCTCTCTTTCTTTCTCTTTAACCCATCCATGCATCATTTTGTATCTCATACGTTTTATTTGCTCTCCGCCTCTCCTCTTCTTCTCCTTTTTCCATTAAATTCATCTCGCCATCTCTCTTCCATTGTACATTGTTGTTTCGGAAAGACGCAAGAACAGCTTCCTATCTCGTCCTGATTGTCTCCGGAGAGTGTCGGACGGCGATTTATTCCTGCTCCTTGCGAGAACACTTCCGGTCGCACGTGCGAGGACAATTTTACGGCGATCATCCTTCGGCCCCGTCGCGACGCTGCAAGGGAACGTGAAACGTCGAGAGTTTGCATGCGGCCGCGAGCGGATGGATGGAATTTTGCCCGACGACCTCGCGTCACTGTCGCGCGGTATCGGACATGTATTTGAGCGAATTTCCGACTCGCCATTTCACGCAACCGCGGCGATCTCGGCCTTTTACTCGCCGTGCGCATCATCTCGTGATAGATGCGCGTCTCGTTCCGGCCGGTTTCGGCGCGGCTGATCGGCACGGTCGTTTTCCAATAACGACGTCGTGCCAGAGCCAAGGGACGGCCGGCAACATTCTGGCCGGCTGTCGTTACCGGAATCACCCTAGCGGAAATCTCTTTACCGCGCCGGCACTCCGACTCTCTTTCTCTCTCCCTGTATTTTTTCTCGCTGTCATTCTTCCTTCCTCTCCGCTTTCTTCTTGTTTTTCCTCCGAGCACCGTCTGAAATTCTAGTCTCACTGCCTCTCTCCCTCGAGTGCCCGCCCCCTTCCTCTCTTTCTCGCTCAGCTCTCCGGCAACATTTTACCGCCAGCGCGGCGCGCCGACTGTTAATTGGCAAGAATAATTAATTAGCCGCCGCATGGGGACAGTACGGTAATTTATCGAGTAGATGAATGCGAGGAAGAGAAGAGAGATGAGGAGTGACGGGGCGGCGAGGGTGGCGGGAGAGCAGAATGGGAAGATCGGAAATTGAGTGCGATCAGCGAGGCGTGTGTCCGCGGTCGGCTGGTCGGACTATTCGATAAAAATCGTCTCCCGGCGTCCTGGATGCCGAGATGCATCCACACCGGCCGCGTATACGGCGAACAATGTCGCGCCTTGCGCCTCGTTCCTCCCCTGGGAAGTCGCACGACCAGGAGCGGGCAGGCTCTCAAGACGGATAGCTCAGGATCTCGTCGAAGAAGGCGAGAGCGCTGCACGACGTGTTGTTGCCAGGTATACGCGTGGAACTTACGAAGATAGATCGCCTCCTTCGTGCGCGGCGCGAGAGCTCTCGTAGTTATAATAGCCTTCGGTGTCTTTCGCACTTCCCCCTCGAAATTCGCCGCCATTCATCTTCACCGCGATAACTAAATTCCCCCCCCCCCTCCTCGCGAGAGGTGCTCTCCGTAATATCCGACTTGACGGAAAAGGAGGGCAAGAATGAAAAGAGGATAGCAGCCCGTCACACGACGGCAGATCCGGCTCGGCGCCGGAGAAGTCATTTAAAGCGAAGCCGCAGTTGACTCGCTTCTCTCTGTCTCCCTCCCTCTCTCAGCCGATTATTAATTCGTCGCGCGTTACATCGATCGGAAAAAGAGAAGAATCGAGAATCGAGACGGGCGAAACTGGCTGCAAGCCGGCCGTCGTCTGTCGGGAGATCAGTCAGAGGCGGATTCTCAAACGCGCGCCGCGTTGGTCTCGCCACGTTCGCCGCAGGGCCTCGCGATGGCCACATCCGCCGTGTGGGAGCTCCTCGACGACGACGGCGACGACGACGTGACGAGACGGGCCGTGGAGCGCGCGGAGGACCGCGCGCGTCTTCAGGCGAAGGTGAGGCCGGCGTCGCGCGGAAACGTCCGACAATATGCGCAAGCCTTGCACCGTCAGGCGGACGAGCTGTGCCAATGGTAACGTGATCGATATCCGCTTAACGATATTAATCCCGCGCCCTACTTCATATTTTACGACTCTTGATTAGCTCGGCGAAAGCGCAACGCGTGGTCCCTCCTGGCGAGCGACGTGGACGGGCTCGGTCGCCGTGGGCTCTCTCAGGACGACCGATCTCTGGAGGGTTAAAAAGCGCGTTAGCTCTTAATTGCTTTTCTCCTCTTCGCAGTGATGCATTTCCAAGCTGCCCTCTCTCTCTCTCTCTCTCTCTCTCTTTCTCTTTTATAGCCGTAGCTTCAATAGCGCGTTATCGCATTGTCTCGCCTCGTCTTGTCTCGTCTCGTCTCGTCTCGTCCGGCTCGTCTCTAGTCTCAAGAAGGACCGACGCGCTTGCATCGAACGCTGAATGCCGTGTAACAATAACAGGCAGGAAGAGCCATTGTGCGCCTTTCACGTCCTGTAATTTTCATCTGCCAGTCGGATCATAATGATCACAATATATTTCTATTAGCTTAGTTACGTCAAAAGTGTCGATATTTTATGCGGATACGGGCTGACTGACGCAACGACGAGCGGTAAAAAATTTACGCTGGAAAAGGGGGGCCCTGAAAAGCTTTCTGTTTTAAATATTGCATCGCGCGTTGTTGGGATGCATTTTAGCGGACCGATGAGGTCATTCGGTGCTTTCAGTTAAAAATGGTCATTTCTCCTCCCTCCTTCCCTCCCTCCCCCTCCCTCCCTCTCTCTCTCTTTCTCTCTCTCTCTCTCTTAGTTAGATATGTACGTTATATGATACGTTTCGTTATATTCTCGTTACGTGCGCGCCAGCTACGTAACAGCGAGGCGAAATTATTATCGATAGAACGTCGCGAAATTTTCCCGCGAGTGGACTCTATTTTGAATTTAAAACACATTAAAACGGGCGATCGCGTGGTCGTCGCCTGCACCGTCGTTGAAGCAGCACGCGAGCATTTTGGTCGTTCCCGGTGGGAAAAAAATGGGTCGTGGGGAATATCGGAAATATTGCCAATACGTCGTTTCCCTGAAAGAACATTCGACGGGAATATCGCTTCACAAGCGGACTGGTATTTAGCTTTCGCGGATAGTCATGAACGTTTCAATTCCACAAATAGATTTTCCTCCTTCCCCTCTCGCCTCGGTAACTCGGTAGATCCGTAAACAGCCCGCGGCCCCCGATGTACCGCTGTCAATGAGGCAGCCCAGTCACTCTTTCTCTTTTCTCGCTCGCGCGAATCGCGCATGCTGAGATGCTAACTTCACACCCGAGCGGAACATCGTCCCGTATTAAAACCTCATCCGGCTTCCAAACTTCAAATAGGGCCCGGATAACTTTATCGGATCCGGCACGTAATAAAGAGTGAAACGCACTGCTGTATAAAATTGCCTGAAATCGAGAAACCTGATCAAATGTCCATCAGGAGCAAATCAGGCATCCAAATAATCGACGTCATCGCTGGTCAGGGTGTAATCCGAAAAATATTGCAAGACAATTGCCGCACATTCCGACCGATAAGGTCCACTCACAATACCTTCTTATGGCTTGCCTAGTCATGCCATAATCATCAGACATAAAAAATCGCCGTATTTGATTTCTGCTCGGGAAGGTCCAATCATAATGCCTTCTTATGACTTGCCTGGTCATGCCATATCAGGCATAAAAAATTGCCGTATTTGATTTCTGCTCGGGGAGTCTCACCGCTCCGCAGGTACGAACAATGCGTGCGCACGTGCGCCACTGTGAGACATTTAATAATTCATCGAGCGTACGCCGCGCGCGCGCGCGCGCACTTCTGCACTCTTGTCTCCGTCGTACTTACAGCTCTATGCATCACACGTTTGCATCAAACAGCAAATTAAAGATTCGTTAAACTGCGCTCCAATGTGATAACGTGTTCGCTAATACGTCGATCCAGCGGGAGCCAGCGGTGAGCCCCCGAGAAATTAATGCAGCACGCATTATGTAGCGATGATACGCTTGGATTAATCGTGTTACGCGATATTTTATCATCGCGCGCTCGCGCGACAGCGAAACCGCGCCTCTTCGCAGCGCGTATTTGGCGACAACGAGCGGCTAACGCGCGCTGATGCACAGCGACGGTGGTTTGATAACTTTTCATTCATTTAACGCGGAAATTCCGCGACCACCCGGCCGATCAGTCGCGGCGGTCTACCAACGATGAGCGATTTAACCCTTTAACGCCTACTGGTAACTATAATTAGCAGAAACGCATTTAAGAATCCGTAACTTAGTCAAAGAAGGAGATATTTTCGTTTTCTTTGCGTCTGCACCGTAAAGGTGAATTCTTCTTCTAAAAATAGGTATATATACGCAGATTGTATGTAGATTCGGTTTAGTCTGTTTTAAGCTCAGTTTTAATGATAACATGTTTTGTCAGATTCCCAGTAGGCATAGTTAGCATTGTTACTGACATCTCGAAGTGCACTACAAATGAACGAAGAGATTGGTGTCTGTTATAATTTTATACATTCGGAAGCTTTCTCGGGTGCAAAATGTGAGATTAAAAGAATACAGAAATTCGAAACGGCGAATATCCGATATGGTGGACACGAAAATCAAGAAATCAATTTATTTTCGTGAAACCTGGGGACCTACAGTTTCTTACGCGGCGAGGGGGGTGAAGGGACGATTGACTATCTAAATGATGATCTATAAGATATTCTTCTGAAATAGTAAGTTTGACGCTCTGAGTGATAAACCTCACTCACAAATATAGTAAAGTTTCAGCTCAAAAATGTCAAGCTGACTGTCAAGAGTTATGTCGTATCGATTACCCTCCATTTTTCTCTGTATAGGTTGCTCATTTCGTATATGCTACGCTAGGATCCAAGTCATACCAATAAGCAGAAAACGAACGATAAAGAAACCAATATAAAATTCTGATATTTTCTTTCGTTACCACTACTCATAGTCTCAGTTCAAAAAAGCTCAAATTTTATTCTTAAAACACTTATAAAAAAAAATCGAGCGTTAAGAGGTAAAAATTTGGCAATTTGCAAATCACGCAGCGGCGAGTACGAGTCGGCGTTAGTGCTGTACCACCGAGCGGCCACGGTTTGCCCGCACGACAGCACCCACGGCGTAGCGGCTCGGCGTACCGCGGCCATGATAAGCTTGTGGAGTAATCCGGAGAAAAGCTCGACGAGACCGCCGGCGAATACGAGGAGCGACGCGATTTCGAGGGTGACTTCGTGCCCCGAGAGCGCGGTGCTCAGAGCGCCTCGCGACGCCTCCAAGTCCTCCGATTCGTCGATTATCTCTGGTATCCTCAGGTAAGTGCCGAATCAATCCGCCGGGATTGATGTTTAATGCGGACGACGCAGTGCCGAGGGGAATGCTCGGAAACGGCGACCTCAAGCGGAAAGCTTCCCCGCGACTTCGAGGTCAACGACGTCTCTTCATCCGCGATTTTGCCATAACTCGACTTACTTACTTACTTCGGCGATTGCACATGTTGCAAATATTAGAGAAAAAGTCCAACACGAAGATCAGGGTCAAAGAAGTTTCTGCGACCTCGAGACCTTCGAGACTCGAAGGTCACGGTCTTCGAAGAAGACCGCTCGACGTTCGTTATTTCGACGATGCCGAAGCAATAATTTCCCAACATCTCGACACGTCGGAAAAATATGAGGACAAGAAAAAAGGTTCCGAAAAGCAAGGAGCAGAATCATAAGCAAAGACCAAGTCCCACCCGCCCCGCGTCTGAAAACCCCGCGTCGTCAGCGGCTCGATCTTACACACGACGTTCGAACACGACGAGCTGTTTCGTCTTCCAGACACCTCGACACCTGCAAAAAGCCGTCTACCGACACCCTCCCCGCGCTAGGATCGCTCATCAGCCAACTGAGCCGATCGCGAGCGACCTTGGAGCACGTCAACAGCCACGCCGACGCGATGCTGAGGAAACTGAAGGCCACTTTCGACGCCGGCAGGATGCGGAACTCCTTGAGGCTCGCCGAGGACCTGCTGGCGCTGTCGCCCGACCTGGGGGACCCTCGTCGACATAAGATACCGGCGTATCATTACTTGTCTCTGATCCACGCCGCTCTAGGAAGGCACGATCGAGCGTCCGAGCAGGTCGCCCGGCTGGTGCGCCTGTCGCTGAGCGTCAACGACGAGGTGCACCTGTCGCAGGCTCTGGTGACCTTGGGCAAGGTGCACCTCAGCTTCGGCTGCCTGCAAGCGGCCGCGCGCGCCTGGGAGAACATGTCGATCCACGTCGGCCAGCCCGTGGCGCAGGCCTGGCTCCACCACGAGATCGGGCGCTGCCATTTCGAGGGAGGGAAGTACGTGAAGGCGTTGCGCGAGGCGGCACGCTGTTGGGAGCGCGCGGAGGAGGCGAGCTCGAACAAGTGGACCTTCCACGCCGGCCTCCTGAGGGCGCAGTGCCTGGCGTTGCTGGGTCGCTTCGCTGGTGACGATTTTACTTCTCAACCCCTTCCTCCATTTTTCCCGGCCGGCGGAATCTCACGGATGGCCGGTTGATTCCCCTCGCGGCGCGCGATTGTCCCGAAGGGACGCCGTTCCGCCGGAAAATTCCAACGGGGCTCCTTTAAAGCGCCCCTGCAGCCTCGACGGGATCCCGACGGGACGCAATATCGCGTTGTGCCTCGGCCGAGACGGCCCGTCTGGACGAATAACTCTCTCCGCAATTGTATGTTATGCGAGTCGCTCGTGAATGGGACATTTAAAACAGTTGGCCGGGATGCTTGAGGTACTCCGGTCGGTAGGCAAACGTGTGCTTGGACTATGTAAAAAAAGAGAGGAAAGAGAGAGAGAGAGAGAGGCGGAAAATAATACGTTGCGCTCTATTCTGTTAACGTCGACGCTCTTATCACGAGGGATTTTCATTCCGCCGAGTGGAATCCAGACCGCCGCAGAATGCGTCCGTATGCAAACGAAACGCGACTTTTAAAACGCGCGTTTGTAGTTTTACATGACGTCTCTTTGCGCCTGTAATCGATATTACAGGCCGAGTGAGTGGACTCGGTTGGACGAGTTGAATCTTCACGGGGCGAATTTGCGCGAAATTCCAATGGCGCACGTGGAAAAATATTATACCGCTAAGACGAGCGGATCCAGTTTACTCTTCTTTTCTCAAGTAATATACAATAGTCTTCGACAAGAAATATCTTTTCACAAGAGTCACGCATGAAACATACTTCCTCAACTGATAATAATTGTAAAATGTATCCAAATTTCTGGCAAAAAGCTCATTGCTCCGAAAGAAACGTTTGTTACCATTTTACGAATATTATGGAATTTATATCCTATGTAACATGTTATGTATAACATGTTATGTATAACATGTTACATAGTCGTATACATCGTATACATAATTATGTTATGTATACGAAGCAAGCCGAACTCTTTTGTTCGAACACTCTTTTCGAACTTTGCCTTCTTCACTGAAAGATTAAGCTTATTAGGATCCAAAGTACCTTTGGAGCAAATCTGATATGCTTATGATGAAGTCTGACGGTAGATTTGTCGACACTTAAGCTTCTGAGATGCTTGAAACAAATAACAGTTACTACGAGTGCAGTGTATACTTTTCCGTGTGCGCGCAAACAATTATCGGAAGCTGTGTACGTGAAGCGTGTGCATCCGTTTCGTTTGTCGGAGATAGATCGCGGGGAAGGAACGTCAAAAAGCCCGATTCAACTCGATACCTGCGATACCTGCGTGTATCTGCGCGCGATGACCTCGCGGTAGTAATTCGAAAGCCGGATGGATTCGACCGCCGGAAAACGCGCTCTCGCGTCGCTCCGCGAAATTGCGGAGCGAGGAAACGCGAGAGGTCCGTTCTTTTTAGCCGAGGAGCTAGGTTACACTTTTTGTGCCGTTAGAACGGAGATATATAATTCAGCGTTGGAAGGAGGGGGAAAAAAGTGCCACGTGCGGTATTAGTTGAACCGAAAAGAACAGGCCTAATGTTATCTAAAGCCGGCGCGCTCAAGCCCGCGCGAATACAAAGCATCCCGCATTCGCAGAGGCGCTGGAGGAGCTGCGAATCGCCGCGAAAATCAGCGAGGAGGAGGGCGACACACCCACGTTGTCTTACATCCGAGATCTAATCGAGCAGCTGAATCGTGCCCTCCGCGAAGTCACGTTCGGCGTGAATCGATGCGCGAAGGGTCCTTCACCGGGGTTATCGCCGCGCGAAGAGCTCGGCCGATCTGAGGGGAACGAAGCGATAACAACTTCTGGAATTAAGAGAAAGACGCGCAGCAGGGAGGGCGCTTTAGCGCCGTCATTATGTCCCGGCTACGTGGAGGACGAGACGCTCGATCGACGCGAGACAGGTATTAGCGTGGAATTTGTCGGGGATTTATTAAGAATAAAGAATGCTCTCGACCTATTGTCCGTCGAGAGAGATTTCATTTCAGATTTCGAGAAGCAAAGGTAATCTCTTCTCCGCTCCCACTCTCGTTTCTTCCTTTCTTTTCTTCTTACTTACTTTCTTTCTTTCTTTCTTCCTCCCTCCCTACCTTCCCCCTTTTTCTTTTTTCACGAGCGAGTTTGTATGCCCGTTGCTTCGGAAGTAGATATAACACGTGTACCAAGATAATTTTTCTCTCTGAAGGAAATCTGTTCGCTCGAGAAAGCGTCGAGACGTCGAGTCGCTTCTCGAAAACGTGAATCTTTTGACATGTGTGCGATTCTAAAATTCCATATTATTCTATCGTCGATTCCAAGTTGACGTATAACTTCACTTCAAATTTCCATATATTCCCCTGATTTTTCCACATGTCGAAAAAATTCCGCAACACTCCAACTGCGAGCCATTCTTTTGAGAGAATTTTAGCGGATTACAATTACATTTAGTGTCCGGGAATCGGCGAAAAAAAGCCGATTTATTGAAAAAAGACCCGGCAGTCGGAAAACAAGTCGGATAAGAAAAACCTCAGAACTGAGATCGGTACTATCGATAACGTAGACGAGGAGTCGACTTCGCTGGACAGTGCGACGTCCCTCAAGAGCAAACGGACCGATGTGACGTACGTGATCGAGTCATGCACGCGCTTGCCGAGCGAGAGGAAAATATACGCCGACGAGGAATTGACGGAATCGTCGTTCGGAACGTGTAATGGCGACTCCAAACACTCCATCGACGTAGAGAAGGCATCAGCTTGGCCGGTCGAGGCGTGTTGCAGCAACGTCGAAACGAGCGGTCGAGGAGCCGAACATGAGACATTCAGGATCTCGAGATCTTGCGAGGGTGAACGTTGTAACTTCGTTACCGACGAGTCACGTCGCGCCGACACGGCACGATTTGCGGATATTTGCTACTTACTCAAACTCGAAAACAGGACGACGAAAGAGAGTCCTTTGTCCGCGAAGGATCTCCCGGCTGGAGCAGCCGTCTCAAGGTAAACTGAGGCGAGCTCGCTCGCTGAAAGTAAGGAAGAGTGTTAAAAATACGTCGCGAGAGACGCGCGCCATGCGAAGAAGTCGCGCGCGAACACGACGACGAGTTCGGGGAATCGTTGCTCGTTTACCTTCGCGTCACTTTGTCGGCTATCGCCAATTAGCGAGGAACTGTCGCGATAATAAATCGAACAACTCGATGTCTAAAGGGAAATCATCACATCAGCGTCTCTTTCATTGACTACCGTTGCATTCTTGCCGCTCGCTGCTCTCTCGCTCGCACACCGCCAGCTTCTCTTTCACGCGCGATCTCGGCGCGTCGATGTCGACCAATCACGACGCTCAAGCCTTCCTCACGCTGAGATTGGCTAGCGAATAGTCTGACGACGAGGTCTGTCCCAAAAATATTTCATCTCTGCGTATATCTTTGTCCTTGAGCATTCTATTGTAGAAAACAGATATTTAGGCTGTGTTCCGATATTCGCTGCCAGCACTGAAAATATATAATATACGTGACACAAACGTGTGTATCTGTATTTACTGGAATTAGTAAGGTGGACTTTTAGGAGTACCCCCACCACCAAACGGCACGACCCAACAGCTGTTCAGTCGGCAACGGTACATAGTTGTAGTAGTAGTAGTAGTAGCGGTAGTTCTTTGCTGACTCCGGACTGCATTCAGCTTTGTCCATATGCCATTTTCCAGTAGTACGAAGGTAAACGAGAAACAGGGACAACGCGTACGCAGTTCCCACGATCAAAAAATATCCGTAGTTACAGGAACCACATCCAACCGCCACGGAGGTGAACGAAAGAACTTGTGGTACGTAGTTGCGTGAGCGTCGAAAACTCCTCGCATATCGATCGAGATCGATCGACCTATCGCGGCAAGAAACTAGAATTCCCAACGCTCTCCCCATAGTCCCTAGTAATTCTCTATCTCCGATAGCCAATCGATACACAGGATCAACTGTTGCCGCGCGGCAAGCGGAATCTTATTAGTCTTCGGTTGGCGCTATTTTCGACCGTTAATAGCCGCCATTGTGCCAGCGTTATTTCGTTTATAACGCGATTCCGTTGAATCCGTTCGAGTTTACGCGACGAGGCTCACGTCGATCGCACGGTCTCTCTCGCCCGGGTGTGAGAACGTTTGCCGTGACCTGTGATCAGTGGGGCATGACGACGACGACGACGAGCAGCCGTAACGTAGCCATCTAGCTCGGCGCGAGCCGCGCTTTATTTACTCGTCCGAGGCGTGACTGTACGCGAGCGTAATCGCGCATTGCTGCGTCGCGAGTGTTAAGTGCCGGCTGACGGTGGTTAATGAGTAGCGAGCGGTGGTTAATGATGAGCGCGGGCGCGCTCGGCAGTCGCGCAACGAAGTGCCGCTTCTTCCGGTAATCCGTGTCGGCTCGACGTGGGAGCGCCGCTTTTCTCGGAACCGAAGACGGCAGCGATGGGGCGGGGCGGGGCGGGGGAGGGGGCGCTGGAGCGAGTACGGTGAGTGATCTCCTCGCACGTTTCTTCTTGTCAGCTCCGCGAAATTCGATACCGCGGCTCCCCTGCGTCTCCCTTTTCTCGCGCGGAGACCAGAGTGAGACGCGCTCGCGCGATGAGACGCCCGAGCGATGCGGTACAAATCGATATCACGATTCCGCGATGAGGCGCCGTACAAATCGTACGCTCGTCATCATGCTCGACACCCAAGGTCTTTTTCGAAAGACTTCCGGATTAATGCGGTAAATTGAAGCGAAAAACGGATATATTTTCTCTCGTTCTAACCTTTGTATATACCACCAGTTCCAAAGTTTCCCTCCGACAAAGAATAGCCCCCATGGATCATTACCGTTCGACTCACGTCGTCAATTCCGCCGGCGCTCCCGGAATGAACTTTTAACGCGCCCCTCTGTCTCTCTCTCTCTCTCTCTCTCTCTCTCTCTCTCTCTCTCCGTTGCAGCTCCTAAATGGATCGTTTCGACCGTCGCCGTCGGCCGAAAACGTCACGGTCGCGCGCACCCGTGGAAATGCATGCCGCGTAAAATCCAGCGCGCCGGCCGCGATAAACAAACCGGTGGAGCGCGCGCACGTCGAGTCGGGTTGATCTAAACGCATTGTCGTCGTCGCGCCGGAGACTCGATTCGCGCGTCGATTCCGCGTCGAAGTGCGACGGTGCGGAAAGGATATCGCGGCCTCGACGAGAGCGATTCGCGCGTTCAGCCGCGTCAACAGCTCGCCGGCTCGACAGCATGCAAAATATGAAAGAAAAATACCTTGATGGGGCACAAGCGAAGCGGGGGAGGGGGGAGCTTGAGGAGAGGCCGGGTCCTCTCGGGGCTACCTGTTGAGCTGGCGTATGTGTATTCTCGGCAGGTTTCTTTTGTCGGCTCGCCAAGATGGACGAATGCAAGTTGCGACACGCGAAAATTTGCATTGCACGGCGCGAGCGGCGCGAGTTCCGGGAGGAGGTCGCTCGCGCTCGGAGAGAACGCGACTTTGATAGGCGCCGCCGGCGAGCTGAGCGAATTATTCGTCCCGTGCGAGCCCCGGCCGAACTTAATGACGCGTTGTAAAACGAAACTACAGCGCGGCGTCGGAGTTTTTATCGCGTGCGCCGCGAATTATCGTAAAGTATCGGAGCGAACGATCGAGAGACGGCCGAGTGAATATATCGCAATTGCAATTGCGGCGAATGGCGGTGAGAAATCACCGGAGAATATCGCGCGGAGGAAGGATGGGCCCGCGGTTATTAAGATGCAGGTCGGCGGTGTGTGCCATCTCGTGTGATTGTCGCTCGTAACAAAACCGTGTTTCCGAATCGCTCGAAAAATGGAGAAAGGGAGGCACAATAGTCTGCTTGGTCGTCTGCAGGCGAGAAACCCGATCATTGTTACTCAACTCGCACGCAGCGAAAATAGCGAGAGCGTCTCGGCTTTCATGCGACTCGTTCGAACTCGTTGAGAGAGAGAGAGAGAGAGAGAGAGAGAGAGAGAGAGAGAGAGAGAGAAGGAGAAAAAACAGATATTGGTTTATACACGAACGAAGTAGAGCAACCGGCTTGCTTCACTTATATCGCAAAGACCACTTCGGAAAGTACGAATAAACAAGTAACATCTGTTCGGAGTACTCGTGTATGTTGAAAATACCAAGATGCGGTTTCTGCGTTTCCCGACTCGAAATCTTGCCTCCCTACTTCCGCTCTCAGCTTGCCAACAGATTCCAAAGGATTACGATAGGTCTTACTTTTTTATGGGTAGCTCCTGTCTCGCGTCTCGAGTGGTGAACAGACAATTCCTTAGATAAAACTTCGCGCGCGAGAGAGAGAGAGAGAGAGAGAGAGAGAGAGAGAGAGAGAGAAGAACTTTAAAAAATAGAGAAATTTCGAGTGAGGTTTATCGGCTTTAAATAGAAACTGTAGATTGAATGAGATCGAAAGAAGTCGATCCATCATGTTCAGAGTATAAAAGGAAATTAAGTTCATTCATAATATCTGAAGAGTAAAAAAAGTAGGGCAGGGGGAGGAGAGGAAGAGAGAGAGAGAGAGAGGACGAGATTTAAAGTGGAAAATTGAAATGGAAAATTGCAAGTGTAGGCGATCCAAGTTCGATCAGATCGTCTCAGGTTGGCTCAGGCGTGGTCAAGATCTTTATGCTTCCTTTTGATCTATTCTCTCCGAGTCAAGTTCTGAGCGGACGGCTGTAATTGTTGAGTACAATTGCAAGCTCAACAGTCATACATCAAAGAATAAGGCAAGAGGAAGAGTTGGAAGACTGTAACTAATATCGCGAACATGTTCGAGGCATTCACTCGATATCGGCGAGAATAAAGCCCACGGCTACGCACGCTCGTGACAGCGATGATGAAAGATGTTTACCAGCGCGCGCCTTTCTGAACACGAAAGACGAGCCGTACATACGTCTGGCGGTAGTACGAGCAGAAAATTATTCATACAAAAACGGAGGATGCGCGGTTTTCCAGCGCGCTTTTATCTCGAGACAAATGCTTTCGCTCTGCTCTTCCGTTCCGTCAGCATCCGCCCTTCTTCCCTATTCATTCGACCTACAAAATCAAATTCGACCTCTATCGCACGCGCGCGCGTACATACACAGACGCGCGCACGCATACGTGAGAGCGTATATCGACTGGAAACTCGAGAGCGTCCGTAATTTCGCTGAAAGCAAACACGCTTACACCGCAAGCCAATTAATCGAGTAGGGATGATTCTCGGCAGGGACCGGGCTTTTTTTTTCTTCTTTTTTTTTATTTGCCTCTCTCGAGTTTGCTTGAGTAATTTAACGGCCTGCAATAAACCCGCATTAATCCCCGCCGCGTTTTATTAAGCACCGACACGTGCCGACGTGTTGCGCTCGAGGCGGATATTTCTTTTCCACATGTCGGATTTAATCAACTGATTTTTCTCCCGACCCTCTTGGTGTGCTCTTCCCCCCCCTCCCCCTCCCCCCGCGCCCCCGTCGTCCCTCGTCTACCTACAATGCCGGCGAGCTTCGTCGCAACAAGCGCAAAGCGACGGGAGATCATTTCGCGCCGAGGAGAGACCTCGGCTTCATTTCGCGAGTGCGGTTAAGACCGCCTCTCCAACTTTAACTCTTCCTAGGCGGGCGCGCTCTTACACAGCGTGTACCGCAAACTAAAGTTCCGAGCTTCTTGTTAACTTGTTCAGACGGAATTTAATCACGCCGGTAAAGAACAATGTCCGAACGTATATTATTACGTCGGTGTCGGGCGAAAAGAAGAAAGGTTATCATCATGTAGTCACGCAAGCGCGTTTCTCTCTCTGCTCGCACGCTCGCAGCGCGTGCGAGTTTTGTGCGGATTTTATTCGGATTAAACGTGAAAGCGGGAGATATACGTGAGTGTGATGCGGCATTAAACACGATACCGTATATCCGCGAACGTTGAGCGATCCCACCGGTAGTAAACGCAACGCGCCTCCGTAATCATTTTAGAGAATCATCCCGACTGTAATTAAGTTTTTATACACGCAGCAAACGACCGCACTTGGCGCGTGTAATTGCCGAAAATTCGCTCGCGGCTCTAACGTAAGGCTCTCCCTTTTCGGGCTGGATTATATCGAGCTTCAAGTTTGGATTTATGAGAATTATATCGCACGTAGGTACACCAAAATTCTCTTGTCGTCGTTTCTTTTTATCTCGAGACGCTCGCCGTCGCTCGCGGGATGAGCCGAGTCGCACCGTTCGCCATATTTCATTGCCGAGATATCAATTTATGTTTCGACCGTGTACATACAGTCAAAAGTACTTTTGCCGTGCCGGGCTGGGCTACCATTGGATGAGCTACGACAACATTGGGGATGTTATGGTCGGACGTTGCGCGCGATGTATTATTCATACAATTTTGGAATAAAAAATACGGGCGATCTCCTAAGCGATTGACTGCACAATGGAAACAGCAAGGAATTGATAGGAGTGAAAAGATATTGGTTTTTTCCCTTATCAAGATCCTCGGTATTTTCGCACGAAATATCGCGCACGGAGGGAATTTTTTCGCAGCAGTTTAACGCAAACAAATTCCGTGTACGCGCCATCGTTAATAATTTTGATAAATAGTGCGCTTCTCATGTGTGAAAAATCTAAAATGATCGTTATCGCGACTGCGCCATGTGCCTAATGACGCGAACCGCGGAAACAATAGCGCGATGAGGTAACGTCGTGTAGTATGTGAAGCTGGCGTTTCATTCTGTGGAAACTTACAAACTATTAAGAGTTTGGACTTTCTTCTTAACAGTTTTAAAATTTCTGACAAGTTAAATAAATAATTCCGTCCATAAAGGCAGAAAAGAAAATGGCTCGGAACGGAAGCCGAGACGCCATGGTTCAAGTTGCGTCTCAATTCGTCTTACGCGTCTTCTTTACTTCTAATTTGCTAAATGTTAAATGGCATTTATTTTACTCGTCGAGGTCGAACCACGCTTAGGGCGCAACGATCATTTTCATTAATATCTTAGATAATTATGGAACTTTTCCTGCATTATTCTCTCAATTACAGCTACATTTAAAAATATTTTTAATATTTTTAGTTATTTTTAAAATATTTTATTGATATTTCAGTTGCAATTCATTTATTACAACGGGTAATCGTAGGTCGATATGGTTTCCACGGATCATCGTTTTCTCGACTCTAAATTAATATCTTATTGCACATAATTTGATAACTTATATTCAGTGGCCCATCATTTTCGCATCGATCGATTTCGGCCTGTCGGCTTTCATTTCTTCATAACGAATAACGTCAGGTCGACGCGGTTCGCGAAGATCTTGGTGATTTTGAATTTAGATCAAAACCTTATCACTCATATTTCATTAATTTATATTTGGTGACTCGTCATTTTTGCATCGATCAATGTCACGCCTCTCATAACGTAACGTTAAATTTATGTGATCTGGAAGAATCACATGGTTATATTTA